CGGGACTTCTCGTGAGGCGTGCGTGTGGTCGTCGAATGAACGGGTTGTAGCGTTGATGAACGACCGCAGTCCATCTTCGGGCTTTATCGAACGGGAAGGAACAAAGAGAGTAGACGAAACAATATAAGAGGCACGAAATGATAATCGTAACGAAGGAAAGAATGGGTGTCGGCGAAATAATATCCCGGTATAAGCCGGCGAGACGAATGAGCGAATTTATTATCGCGTCAGCGTATAGTGGTTGTTGTGTTGCGAGGAGAACGGGGCGTAAGAACCGGGGTTGCTTCTTATTCTCATGAATAACGCTTTAACGCCATTTTTTATGTCTCCCGCGGCCACGTCGTTTCTGAAACAAGCCCGAGAAACGAGGTATTTGGATATTCACTCGACCCCCCTGAGATATCCCGCGGTTCGACACCGCCCCAATACGGAAATTTACATTTGGCCAGGCCTCGAGCGCGCGTTTGCCGATTTCCAACACCCTTCCATCGAAATCAAGCCGAGAATGCCTCTATTATCGGATCAGAGCCGCGATGGAAGTCTACGGTTTCGGCTCGGCCAAAGTAATTGACATTATCTACAGCGGGGAACTGAAGGCTGTTGAAAGTGCCGCCCCTAATGGCGGTGGGTTCGCGTGATTGTATATGCATTAGAGTCGTACCTAGAGGGTGAATGGAAACGGTCTCTTTTTTGCAAAGTGCGTAAGAAGTGCGTGATAGACTTATGGTTACAAGGAAAGACTCGCTATTGCTCGCTGGGGGGCCTACCAAACTTCTTCATAGTCACCTTCGGCAATTTTCACAATTTTTCTGAGGGTTTCAAGGTATTTCAAGAAAATTTGATTCTCCGACGAAAGGTCGTATCGTAGTTTTGTACATTTGTATACGCGAGTGAGTGGTCGAGGTTTTACAGTATTTTGATGCATAAATTGTGTAGGGAATTGTGCACGTGCCTCATAAGAAGGCTTACGGAATGGTTGAGTAACAAGGGATGCTATTTACGTATGATACAGTTCTTTGGTTTATGTGCATAATTGATAGATGGTAATTGATGGTAATTGAATGTAAGCAAAGAGCAATGGGTTCTTTTCATAAGACTTCATGTGAGGCACGAAAAATATTAACACTATCAACTAATATTCTATAAACTTGGTACTTTGAAACATTTCAAATTTGTTCCTAACCTCTAAGGATTTTAATGTATTCCAATCTAGAACCCTAGGGAATTTAAGTCATATGGAATATCATATCTTTCAACTCCGCAATCTAGAGAATTTTTAATGTTAAGAATTTAATATTTTGCAGTTCTAAACCCTAGGGAATTTAATATCTGCCAATCTAGAATCCTAGGGAATTTTGAATGTTTGGAATTTAATATCTTCTATTCGGGAATCCTAGGGAATTTAGGTCGCGTGGAATATAATATCTTTCAACTTTGCACGCTAGGAAATTTTTGAATGTTTGCAATTTAATATTTTGCAATTTTAAACCCTAGGGAATTTAATATCTGCCAATCTAGAATCTTAGGGAATTTTGAATGTTTAGAATTTAATATCTTTTAATTCTAAACCCTAGGGAATTTAATAGCTTCCCATTTAGAATCCTAGGGAATTTTGAATGTTTGGAATTTAATATTTTTCAATTCTAAACTCTGAGGAATTTAAGTGTGTAATTTATTATCTTTCAACTTTGCACTCTAGGGAAGTTTTGATATTCGAAATTTAATATCTTCCAACTGTAAACCCTACGGAATTTAGTATCCTCCGACTCTCAATTCTACGGAATTTAGCATCTTCTAACTCTGTACCCTAAAGAATTTTAAACATAGGAAATTTAAGATCTTCCAAATCCAAACCCTAGGGAATTTGAAATTATAGAACTCTCAAACTTATAAAATTTGTCATCCTCGATATCTAGTACAAACTCCAAGACATAGGGAATTTAAGTTTATATACTTCTTTCCATACACGACCGAAATCAGTATGTGAAAAATTCATGGTAAACTTATAGTCCCAAATGAAAATATTTTATTTGACGATTAAAGATTGTACCATTAATAGAGAGACGACTGAAATATCAAAGATGAAAAATCTGAGATGACGCGATGTCTTCAGGTTCGACGCGTGCTCGACCCGTAAGACAATCATGATGGCTGCCATTAGCGAACCTCTGGTTCGTTAATGCGCGCCAGTGCCGATGAATCTGCTTTCTTTTGATCAATTTCTCGATCTGGCGACGGTACGCGTGCCATTACGCCGTCTCCGCTTTCTTTGTTCGATTACGAGCGATTCAAAGTACCGGTTGCCTCGGATAATCGGGAATCCACGACAAGAGGGTGAGGTTAAGGAGACAAGAAAGTAGAGGAGAGGACACGAGAATCCCTTCTATCATTGCTTCTCTCGTTCCTCCGGCAATTTCGACGACTAGCGAAGGGGTGCGCCTTCCTGTATTTTATGGGATGAACGAGGATTTGCACGAGGACGCGTGTAGGCGTCCCTCCGAATCTTTCCGCCGAATCTATCCTTGTTTCTGTGTGTCGGTACTTCCAGCTTCTTTACCGAAGCTCGGCCATTCCAATCCTTTGATCGTTAAATATTAAACGAGTCGTTCGAATCATCCAAATAACAGCTTCCTTCCTTCCTCCGCTAAACGATCCTCCTCTGATCCTATTTCCTCAGTTCGAGCTCGATTGATTTCACGGATCATTAATTGTATCGATCGCTGTTCCGGAGATGCTCGTTCGTTTAGGGAGTTTGGAGCGACTTTGGGACTTAGCTTTGGAGATTTGGGACTTTTAAGGTTTAGGATTTGCTACTTTAAAATTTTACTAGTTTTAGGATTTTAGAACTTTGGAACATTAGGAGTAAGGTAGTTTGGAACAATAGGATATAGGTACCTAGCTTTGGAGATTTGGGACTTGGGGAGAAGATTGAGAGATTGGGTATTTAGGAGTTTGAGAGATTAAGGACTAACACTGAGGATTTAGAAGTTGTGGGATTTTCTAACTTTGGGACTTTGAGACTTTTGAAGTTTAGGAGTATAGGAATTTGCTACTTTAAAACTTTATGAGTTTTAGAATTTTAAAACTTTGGGACATTGGGATATAGATGAGCTTTGAAGATTTGGGACTTGGTGGGAAATTTAGCAGGCTAGGTCTTTGGGAGTTTGGGGCTTGGGAGGTTAAGTTTTGGGACTTTAACACCGAAGATTTAGAAGTTGTGAGATTTTACAACTTCGGAACTTTGAAACTTTTAAGGTTTAGGAGTACAAAAATTTACTGTTTTAAGACTTTGTGAGTTTTGGGATTTTAGAACTTTGGGACATTAGGAGTTTGGTAGATTGGGACATTGGGATGTACATAGACACTGAGCTTTGAAGGCTTGGAATCTGGGGTGGGACAGGCAGGTTAGGTCTTTGGAAGTTTGAGACTTTGGGAATTTAGATCTTGGGATTTTAGGACCGAAATTTTAGGAGTTGTGGGATTTTACAACTCTGGGACTAGGATTTTGATAGTTTGGGACTATGAGACTTAAATACCACATTTGTAGATATCAAGTTGGAAAATTTGAGAGAGGTATTTGGAAATTTTGGACCGTAGAAGGTCAAGGATTGTAGAATTTCAAAAATTTGAGAGTTTGGGACCTTACAAGTTTAAGAAGTGTAAGAATTTGGGCCTTCAAGATTTTAGGAACTTGATACTTTCAGATTTTTAAATTTTACAAGTTATCAAACATTGAAACTATGGAATACGAGGACCTTGGCAGTTTCGGACTTTAAAACCTTGATGCAGATCTTCATTGACTTGGCACTTAGAACCTTGAAAATTTAGGTCTTTGGACTGTAGGATTGATTATGATAATGGAACATTAGGATTTGGTAGTTTAGAATTTTAGGACTGCAGAAATTTAGCTATTCAACATTTTACAAGTTTGAAACGTCTTTGAGACTTAGTGCTTTGAAACCTTGATACCTTGGGACCTTCACGTTTCTGTATTTTGAAATCTTGATGCCTTGATGCTTCACTAATTCCATACTTTAATACCTTCATAATATGAAACATTCAAGCTTCTTGACATCTTGATGCCTTAATATTTCACCATCTTGATACCTTGATGCCATGATACTTCACCATCTTGATACCTTGTTGCTTTAATACTTCACCATTTTAATATCTTAATGCCTTAATACTTCATCATCTTGATATCTTGATGCCTTAATACTTCTCATCTTGATATCTGATGTTTTAATACTTCATCATCTTGATATCTTGATGCCTTAATACTTCACCATTTTGATATTCTGATGCCATGATACTTCCCCAATTTCTGCATCTCAATTTCTTAATGCCTTAATACTTCATCATCTTGATATCTTGATGCCTTAATACTTCACCACTTTGATATTTTGATGCCATGATACTTCCCCAATTTCTGCATCTCAATTTCTTAATGCCTTAATACTTCATCATCTTGATATCTGATGCCTTAATGCTTCATCATCTTGATATCTGATGTTTTAATACTTCATCATCTTGATATCTTGATGCCTTAATACTTCACCATTTTGATATTCTGATGCCATGATACTTCCCCAATTTCTGCATCTCAATTTCTTAATGCCTTAATACTTCATCATCTTGATATCTGATGCCTTAATGCTTCATCATCTTGATATCTGATGTTTTAATACTTCATCATCTTGATATCTGATGCCTTAATGCTTCATCATCTTGATGTCTGATGCCTTAATACTTCATCATCTTGATATCTTGATGCCTTAATACTTCTCATCTTGATATCTGATGTTTTAATACTTCATCATCTTGATATCTGATGCCTTAATGCTTCATCATCTTGATATCTGATGTTTTAATACTTCATCATCTTGATATCTGATGCCTTAATGCTTCATCATCTTGATGTCTGATGCCTTAATACTTCATCATCTTGATATATTAATGCCTTGATACTTCCCTAATTTTATATCTTTATATCTTCATACCATCGAATCTTCATACTCCTTGATCTGAATATCTTGACGCCTTGATACTTCACCATCTTCATTTTTTAATGCCATGATACTTCTCCAGCTTCGTACCTTCATACCATCAAACCTTTATATTTTTGCATCTTAACATGCTTTAATAGTTTGCTATCTTCATATCTTGATGCCTTAATGCTTCACTTCTTCATATCTTGATGCTTTAATAGTTTGCTATCTTCATATCTTGATGCCTTGATGCTTCACGGCTTGATATCTTGATGCCTTCATAATTACTGAATTTCGTATGTTTATATCTTCATACTATTATATCTGTTTATCTTAATGCATTTATACTTCTGCATCCTGAATTTTTATGCCCAAATACTTCCCCATGTTCCATACCTTTACACCTACACACCATGAAAACTTTATACTTCTGCATTTTGATATCTTGATGCCGTAATACTTCCCCATCTAGATACTTTCTTCCCTAATATCATAAGACCTCGTTGCTCCCGTATTTTGTTACTTTGATGCCCCGATACTTCACCATCTCCGTACTTTTCTCCCATAATACCCCGAGACTTTCATGCTTCTATATCCTGATATCTTGGTACCTTGATACCCTGCACTTTTCCACATCTCTACCTTAAAATCTTGATACTTTGACAGCTGGATACCTTGGAACCTTGAAACTTTAAATCCCGAAGCTCTGTAATCCTGAAAGTTTAAGAGCCCGAAGCTATAGCGCTTCCAGCTGCAATCTCCCGAAAGTGTAGTACCGCATAAAACGTGAAATTGTTAAAGATATCCGATTCGGGGGAATTGACCTTTTGTCGTAATTGCAACAGTTACATCAACAAAGAGAGCCGAGAGAGTCCCAAGAGCGGAGTCGCCAGAGGACATTGCTGCCAGGAGCCGATAACTACCCAGAAAGGACGAATCGATGAATTTCGTAACAGCGAATTTCCGCGGGTAAAGGGTGGCGTGGTGGTCTTGGTGAGTGGGTGGGCAGCACCACCGGCACCAGCACAGGGATGTAACTCGTAGTGGAGTCGCTTGGAACGGGGTGTGTAGGTGGTTCGTGAGCGAGGACGAAATCAATAGCGCCGTCGGGTTCATAGCGGCGCGCAGGAAGCGTCCCGTAGAAAAGGGACAAATGTATATAAATTTAAATCAGACCGTTGGTCCGAGCCAGAGTTAGTTTCTTGTTCGCTTCAGGGCTCGTTGAACTCGAAAAGAGAACTGTTTCGGGACGATCGTCCTCGAGAATTCGTGTCTCAGGAACGATCGAAGATCTGACATTCACCGTTTCAGCTTTTCAAACGGCGCACAAAGGGTTTGTCGATTGGAAATGTGAGACGTGTTTAGAATAAGTGTTTATTTTACGTCTCTCTTTCATTTTATATACTTTTTTTGCTTCTTGCAAATTCATGTCGTATGCAAATTTAATGCTGAGGATCTTTGGGTGTTGCGGTTGCGTTGGTAGAGACGTAGAGTCGGCGACGCACCAGATTTAGCTTATAGGTGCACGATTTTGGCTATAGGCTTTGAAGTAGATTTTGAACTTCGGGAATTTGAGACATTGGTAGATTTTGAGATTTTAGGAGACTGATTTTGGGACTTAGAAACTTGAGAGCTATGAGACTTAGAAATTTGACAATGTCGGGATTTAGGAACTTGATGACTATGGGATTTAGGAACTTGAGGACTTTGGGATTTAGAAATTTGAGAACTTGGGTTTCATCTAAATTTGAAACTGGATGACGACAAGCCTTAAAGGCTAAAAACCTTGAGGATCTAAAAACTGGTAGACTTAGAAACTAGAAGACTCTTTGAAGGTCTGAAAATTTCAGAACATTAGGACCTAGAATGTGGACACTTGACTGAAAAACCTAAGGACTCATTCTGCAAATCTTGAAGTTTGAAACCTGGAACTTTTTGCAGAATCTTAAAACCATGAAACCCGAAAACTTAAATACCTATTCAATATATTATAAACTTAGAAATTTGATGGCACAGAAGCTTCAAAACACCTAATACCTAATACGCAAAATATTTGAAATAAAAGTCTGTCAACCTCTCACACTACATATTCCGCATAGCCGGCACGGTACTTCCACGAGACTTATGGTTATTTTGCGATATTTCTGACATGCCCACATCCGACAATTGTATTTGTTATGTTCGGAGCCTCGAACGCAATTTAAATTTCACCTCAAGACTTTTCCTATCTGGATTTGACATTAAGATTTCAAGAAACAGGAAATCGATTTGATACAGGTAGAGGGTGTAGCTGTCATTCATTTATGAACCAGATACGGATGTAGATGGTTAGGTGTTGATAAAAGATTCAAAAGGGAACGGGAAAGAATGTCGGTAGCTATAGACTTGGTATTACGATATTATGTATAGACTTCGGGATTCTTTATCTAGGTTTCTAACACTTCAAAGACGACGTTGGAATTCTTCTTCGTGTTTATTCTGTTCTCATTTGATGATGCAATCTTGTATCAAAATACTTTTAAAATTCTTCACGTTCCGAATGGAAACACTTTGTTGAAGTTTTCTGATAACTGGCACGTAATTGAAATGAAATTTTAATTTGGCAAAATTATTGTTGGTTTCTGGGTGAAAAATTGTAATATCAAATTTGAAACTTAGGAAATTTGGAGTTTCGGAAGTTTTAGAAGCTAAGGAGTTTTGGATTAGAGGACTTTTGAATATAGAAATTTCCTAGCCAGTTAAATGTGGAATATAAGGAATTTGGCACCTTGAAATTTTAAAGATTTGCAACATAGGGAATTTTCACCTTCGAAACTTTAATGAGTTTTGGATTACAGAGCTTTTGAACATAGGGAATTCGCAGCCAGTGAAATGTGGAATATAGGGGATTAAGAATTTGGCACCTTGAAATTTTGGATCCTAGGGAACTGAAACTGTACAATTTTGAGAATTTTGGAACCTTGAAGATTTGCAACATAGGGAATTTTTATCTTTGAAACTTTAGGGAGTTTTAGTTTAGAATACTTTGGAGTATAAGGAACTTCTAGCAAATGAAATTTGGAATGTAGAAAATTTGGCACCTTGAAATTTTGGATCCTAGGGAATTTGGAACCATATGATTTTGGTATTGGAACTCTAGGGAATTTTAGAACCTTGAAGATTTTCAATATAGGGAATTTTTATCTTTGAAACTTTAGGGAGTTTTAGTTTAGAAGACTTTGGAGCATAGGGAAATTCTAGCAAATGAAATTTGGAATGTAGAGAATTTGGCACCTTGAAATTTTGAATCCTAGGGAATTTGGAACCATATAATTTTGGTAATGGAACTGTAGGGAATTTTGGAATCTTTAAAGTTTGCAACATAGGGAATTTTTACCTCTGAAACTTTAGGGAATTTTCGATCAAAAGAAATTTGGAACTTTCAAAATTGGAAGCATAGTAACTATATAGCCTAGAGAATTTGGGACTGTAGAATTTTAGAATTTTAGAATATTTAAAACTTTAGAATTTTGGGACACAATGTATTTGTAAACTATAGAAATTTGGGACATAAGAAATTAGGGATCTTAAAACTCTAGATCCTAGGGAATTTTAATCTAAAAGGTTTTAGAATTTGGGTAATTAGAAATATTAAAACTTTGGACTGTAGGGAATTTAGTATGATGAAAGTGTATAATCTAGGAAATTATTAATTGTCGAATTTTAGATTTAGAAAATTTAGTATTTTTAAACTTTGAGATATAGAGAATTTAAGATATTCAAACGTCCAACGGCTAAGGAATTTGGAACAATCCAATTTTTACTATCTAGAGAATTTGAGTGTTAGATGTTAGATTATAGGGAATGTTTAAGTTCAAGTCTATCACTCCTAGGGAATTCGGGACTGTAAAACTTCTCTATCTAGGGAATTTGTACGCTGGAATTTTGAACATAGGAAATTTGTGATCTTCAAATTTTATTATCTAGTGAATTTGAGACTATAAAACTTTGGGTCCAGGGAATTTATGTGTTATAAGTTTAGGTATAGAAAATTTGTGATCTTAAGATTCTATTACCTAGGGAATTTGAGACTATAAACCATTGGTGTCTAGGGACTTTCTGTACTTTAAGTATAGATATGAAAAATTTGTGATCTTAAGATTCTATTGTCTAGGGAATTTTAGACTTGCAATTAAAATAATCTATTATTTTAAGTTATTTTAAATTAAAAATCTTGAAACTCTAATCCCTAGGAAATTTCTAACTATATATTATAGTAATTACAAAGTTACTACTAGATTGTAGTAACTTTCGAACATATCAAATTTATTATCGTGAAACTCTTACCTCGTGAAAAGTTAGCATTCGAATGAAAGGTACTCATCTAAGTTAGAACTCGAGGAGGGATAATTTAAGTTACTACGTGCGTCAGCTAAGTCATCAAGTGAGCCAATAAGATCCGAATTACATTCGGCTGCCAACTTACCAGACGCGCGGAGTGTGGTAAATAAATATAGGCGTCGAACAATGGACGCTTCAACACGAAATCGCTTGATCTGGCAAAGTTTTCCAACCGAACAAAGGATCGTACGCGGCGTAGAAATTTCTGGCCGAAAGTCTCCATTGAGATGGAAATATTCAGGCAGTGGTGCTATTAAAAATTTAGTATCGGAACTCTTCCGAAATTACATTTTATAGAGGCAATTCGTTCTGCGGCGCACCGGGATTGGCTTGCATTAATAATGCCTTTATGTGGCGCACCGGGTGACCCCGAAGTCAGCATTCACCCTCGATTTTTCACAACACGACACCCTCTTCTTTCTGTCTTAATCTTTTTATTATCGCCGTTACAACCCTTACTGATTTTTAAGAAAATCCTTCGACAGGGTTAACTAGAACTACACTAGAACACTAGAACTACACCAGTCAATATGTCTAATTTTAATTTTATTTGACAATTTTTACTTTATGTTACAATTCATTTAATAACATTTCATTTTTTAGGTTAGGTTAGGCAATTTCATTTGAAAATTATTGCTTTATGTCACATTTCATTTGAGTACATTTCATTGTTTAGGTTAGGTTAGGCAATTTCATTTGAAAATTTT